CGGACCGGCCGGTGCCTTCCAGTGCACCGAAATGTCAGGATGCACGGAGAAAGGCCGGCCCTGCCTCTGGCCAGGGCCTTCCTGCGCCCCGCTTGCCGGGCCTACCCGGAGCTGGCTGCCCCGTGGGGTGCCGAAATGGCCGAGGCAGCAGAGGTGGTGTGTCTGAAGCGCCTCACGGTTCTTCCGTTTTTCTGAGCTAATTAAAAGGCAAAGTGGATTTTCACGCCCTTGCTTTGTTTCATAATAGGTTGAGCCTTCTGATACTATAGAAAATGTAAAAGCTAAGATCCAGGATAAGGAGGGTAAGTTCAAAAATGCACTGCTTATTCTCTCCTCCCTTGGATTGATGTATTATCTTACGCAAATGACATTGTCTGCAGCAACCTCTTATAGAATGTCACAGACCGCATTCCTCATTTAGTCTTTATTTATGTCACGATTAGGCATTCCTCCTGATCAGCAGCGACTGATTTTTGCTGGTAAGCAGCTAGAAGATGGACGCACACTGTCTGACTACAATATTCAAAAAGTGAGTAAGAAAGGCTGAACTGAGGGTTGCAGCACCAACGAGCTGGCACTGTCAGAACAGACTGACCTTTGCTGTTGAGCCTAAGAAGTATTTCAAATGGATTCAACCAAATAAATTGATTTAGCTTTAGGTAGCACTTCTGAGGTACTGATGCTAGGACTACACCTGACAGTTGCTGCAGCCCACTGTATAGTTTTAAGTCAGAAGAAAACATTTCTAACAGCTTCCACTTCTGGTGCTGCCCTTTTGTCAGCCCTGGCACTTGGCACGCTGTAGTGACCTGGTTCAGGGGGCTAACATGAAAGATCCTGCTCAGTTCTGCCAGATTAACCAGACAGGCTAGCAAGCACCAGTAGAAAGGAGGAACAGCAAATAGCTGCCAGTTTGGCTTAGTCACATCGTGAAACTGTTCTACAGTTGCAGTAAGTTGTGACTATATTCCTCAGTTTTACAGTAATTGGGCCTTCTGGGGTTTGGGATGCAGCAGCCCACTGGTCTCTGGAGCCTGCTCATTATTATAGCAAATAATCCTCTCAGAGCTTTCCTAACTGCCTGGCACTTGAGATCTACTGTCTGTAGATAAAAGAATGAGCCTGCTTAAATGCTGCTCTTGTCTTGAGAAGGCATCTTGAGTCTCTTTCATGTGCTTTACAAATAGGAATCAACTCTTCACCTTGTGCTAAGACTGCGTGGTGGTGCCAAGAAAAGAAAGAAGAAGTCTTACACTACTCCCAAGAAGAACAAGCATAAGAGAAAGAAGGTTAAGCTTGCAGTGCTTAAGTACTACAAGGTACGTGGAACTAACTCTA